ATTGTTCCTGGCTTCCAGGTCTGTTAGACCATGTGGCCTCTTGTTAAGGGCTGGCTGTATGTCAAATGGAGAGTGGTAGCATGTATGGGTATTGATAGCCTTAAGGAAAGGCTGAAGCCACTGACCTAAGTTTCCTTTGGCCATTAGGCTGAGCTGGACCTCCTAGTACTCTTCCACCTTCCCTTAAGTCCTCCTGTGCTCCTGCCCAGTATAGGAAATTCCGGGAGGCTCACAAATGGTCACACATGGCTGTGCATGTGGCTGAATCTCCAGGTGTCTGATTTCACTTGTCTGGATTGTCCCTTGGACAGCAGGGCCTTGGGTCCTGGTGTGAGCTCCCTCTTGGCAATGCTAGCTAACCAGTGTTTCTCTTGCAGGACCTGGAGAAGGAAAGTGACACTCCTTTGCAGCAGGTTTCAATAGAAGAGATCCTGGAGGAGCAGCGGGTGGAACAGCAGGCCAAGCACGAGTCAGAGAAGTTGAAAGTGCAGGCACTGAAGGAACGGGGCCTTTCCATCCCACGGGCAGATACGCTTGATGAGTATTAGGTGTTGTGCCCTTTGGACAGTCCCCATGACTTGGAACAAGCGGAGTGCTTTGTGTGCACATGGGGTCCTTGCAGCTCTGCTTTGAAAGTCGGCTCTTCACTTTGAGCATGTGTTTTCTGTTGCACAGAAACTGGTTAAAAATGCCTTGTTTTGTAATCCTTATTTCTGAAGAACAGACATTCAGGTGGTGTCTGAATGTGTGCTGACAAAGCTGTGTGCTCTGGAGGGCTTGAGAGCACATGTTCAGGGAAACCTGGTGTTTTGTTGTGTTTTTGTTTTATTCTGTTTATCTGTGACTTGAGAGTATCTGCTCCTCAACATGTAAATAAAACCTGGATCGTGATAATACAGCCGACAGTGTCCCTGGCCTCGGAATTGACTGTGCTCACGTCTCTGGATTTCTCCTTGCTGGGGTGCTACAGGATATGTTAGGGAAGGCAGTGGAACTAGGGTGACTTGGAGCATGCTTCCTATCACTGACAAGCTCAGTTGAGGGGTGGGATTAAGCATCTTTTATCAGCAGGAAGCTACTGCCTCACAACTTTTAAAGTCGGTATTTCCAGAAGGAAGAGCCGGAGTTGGCATTCTCAACCCTCGAGTCAGTGTCTGGTAGCAGCTTTGGCAGATCTAACCTTTCTGCACCACTGCCTTGTTGGAAAAGTGACTCTAAAGATGGTGCCTGTTGTGGTAACTTTTCCATTCCCAAGTCCTGCAGTGCTCTTGTGAACACGTGCCATTCCTCTTCCATTGAACTGAGCCTTGCAGCACTTGACTCAATCTTTTGGCTCTGTCTACTAAGTCCGCCGGGCCCAGCTCCATCTAGCCTGACCTCTTAGCCTGACCTCTACGATGTGTGCCAACTGCTTTGCTTCTTTCATTCTGAGTGTTAATCGTGATCCCTGCAGTCTCTTAGTTTTGCTTAGATGGCTCAATTTGGAAAGAGCTGAATGGCAGGGAGGTACCCATTTGTTTGCTAGATTTGGGATATTCTCAGCATTGAAGCATTGCAGTCAAAGTACCTCTTACATTTCTATGCCACATGGCAAAACACCTAGACTACCAAGTTGCAGGCAGCTGCCGGACTTCCGAAGCCTCTTCCCATTGATCTCCTTTGCAAGTAAGACTGCTTCCCTGTAGATGAAAGGAAGGGCCCCCAGTGAGGCTTGTGCATCCTTCCTCCAGGGGGAGCTATAGATGCATGCCTCTGTGCCACTGTCAATTGCTGGGACCCAGAGTAGTAATTGTAAGGTTTATCTCTGGCAGTATGGGCAGGAAATATGCTCCTGCTAACCTGCCCCATCTTTCTAGCTGTCTGCCGGGAACAGGACAGTGGGTTATTATTTACAACTGTAAATGTCTGGTGCAACCATCAGTGAGAGCTGTATAGCCAGCATGAGTGCACAGACTCCTATAAGAGGATTTCATGGTCCTGTGTTAAGGTTGGGGCCTGGAAGCAGGGTAGAGGCTGGCTGCAAATGTGCTGCTTCTTCCAGGGCTAGGGACTGAACCTTCCCACAGTGCCCAGTGTTCAGACACTGTAGTGACAGATGACCTTCTCTTTTACAGAGAGAGAGTGCCTGAACCACTAGGTTATTAGTGCTGCCTTATGGAAGGTAGTGCTGTGAGGAGTAAAATCATCAGTGACCTGCTCACATTGAAATTGCATTTGCTTAAGTCATTTCACTATTTCTGAAATGAGTCTCTCACTCTTTCTGAAAAAGAACCTAATCGCATTATCATGGCTATCTTGGAACTTGTACGGTACTCGGAAGGTCACGGTGTACCACAACTATGCACTGCAGGTGAACTGAGCAGGGACTACATTAATTACAAGCCACACTTAATGGAAAGAAGTTCTTCCAGACTCAGAGACTCTAAGAGTCCGGTGGCCTAATCAGTTTGGCAATGTGTAAAGTTCCAGTAATTGGAAAAATCTGGAAGGAGGAAACAGCTTTGTGTTTTTGTTGGGCCTAACCAACTTTTTGTTGCTGTTTTGGGCCTAACCAGTTGAAAGATGTTTGCTTTGAGTAGGAATAGGGCAGCTTCCGCTATGGAGAAGAGTGCTGGCTCCTGTTTTGCATCTAGTCCTGGAACCACAGGCCATGTTAGACTGAGGGGAGGGGGAAGTTTAAGAAAAAGAAGAGGCCAAAGAAGATGGTTGGTACATTTCTTAGTAATAAGTGCATTTAGGTTACTAATGGTGATTGTCTCAAGCTCTTTAGCTACTGTTTGCATTTGTCAACTTGGTCAACAAAAACATCCAGGAAGCTGCTTCCACTCTTGTGTTTTCTATTGCTGCTGTAACCTGTTGGGAACTGGTGGTAAACAAGTAGCCATGCTGTTGGCAACATCTGCTGTGGAAATGGGTCTCTGTCTTCTTGGTGTAGGTAAGTTTTATTGCCTCTGCTGAAACCACCAGGCTGGTGCAACCTAACCTGTGTGGGAACGTGCACTCCAGTAACGTGCCTTTTTCTGTACATTGCAAACGAGCTAAACTAAGTGTGTTCAACCCAGGAGCTGGGGGAGGGGTGGGGGAAGAGAGTCAAAATGATAATTGCATTCACTTAATTGTGCAGCTTGAGGTAACTGACAAATCTTTGTCAGTTGGGCATTAGATTTTTATATGCTTTTATACAGCCCTTAAGTTGCAAATCTCCCTTCCATTTCTCAGAAAAGGCTGCTGGCATGTGGGGGAAGTGTGGCTTTGAGTAGTAGCTGGGTTTGTGGCTGATAAAACAGCACAGGAGGATACAGAACAGCTGGTGCATGAGACCAAGGCAACTGGGCAGTCCAGCAATTGCATTTAACAGCCCCACCCCATATGCATGATAATTGAATTCACACCCATGGCCCTGTGAGGAAATCTTGTAGGAGCTTAGATCCAAGTTTTGAAATGAGCTGTTTGCAAACAAGCAAACCAATAAATGCACCACTTCCTGTGCTGGCTCTGTGGGCACCAGCCTACCTAGATGAAGTCCCCTGTTCGCAGAGGAGGTGGACAGATGAGAGCAGGTGTTTTCAAATTTAAGTCCCTCCTTTCCTACAGACCTGCTCTGTCTGCCTGCTCCCTTTGCAGTCCAGGCTATTTCGGTGGCACTGAAACAGACTGAGCAGGGCTTGGCTTAGTTTCTATTCCTCCTGTTGGGCTTGGCAGTAGGGTGGCCGTCATAGAGGACATTCTGGTTTTTTGCTACTCTGTCCTCTATTGATATGAAACTGGATGCCGTTCTGTCCTAAAGGCGTCTAGTTTCACGTCCATAGAGGACAACTGGACTGTCCTCTATGATGGCCACCCTACCTGTCAGCACACTCAAACCTGCTCTCTGCCTCTGAGTTAGTGGGAGCTGCTGAGGTTCCAGCCAGTGGTGGCAGGGCCCTGCAGGGTACTCTGTATTGCCCGGGGGGTTAAGAGCCAGTGTTGGGAGTGAAACAAGCAACCTCCTAAAACTAGGCTGGGATTGAGGAAGACTGAGTTGGGGGTGGAATACTAGGCCGAAGAGGCTTTTTCTAGGCTGGGAGCGTGAGAAGCAGGCAGGTGTGGTCAGTATGTCTAAACCCACACCCAGCCCTCTTTTTTTTTTTTTCTGTGGGGAATACATCCGAGAGCAGTCTTCCTCTGTTAGGGCTGTGCTCAGTGCTGTCAGCACACCTGCTTCTGCTCAACGGGCAAGTGTAACAATGCTGCACAGTGTCCTGTGCAAACATTCATTGGAGGGAGCATATCTGACAGTCCAATACTCCTCCCGGGCCAGCGGGGAGAGCAGGTCCTATGTCTGGTAGGGTTGCCGACTCTCCTTGAATCTATTCTGGGCGGTTTCATCACATGCCGTAATGACTTGACACCAGCAAGGCAAATGCCCATGATGATTCCGTTGAAAAAAATCCCCTGGCCTACTATGTAAATCAGGTTCAACATTTAACATTTATTTCTTTCAATGAACGGCCTAGTGTTTATCTCCTGGGTGACTCCCAGCAGCCTCCTGGAGGCTTATTTTTAATTCGTGGACACTCCAGGTCAATCCCCGGGCCTGGCTGGGTGCGTTGCCCCCCGGGTCTGGTGTCGTGAGAGGCAGGGAGCGGGGGCGTGGAGCGGCGAGCACGGATGCAGACGGGCAGAGCGCAGGACTACATTACCCAGCGTGCACCCGGGCCAGTGTCGTGGAGGGGGGGGGCTTACATAACTCGGAATGCGTTTGCCCGCGAGGCCCCGCCCCGCGCAACGTCACAGTGGAGCCCCGCCCCCATGGAACGCTGTGTAGCCAGTCGGCTGCAGACTGCTACAATCTCTTCCATCCCATGCGATTTCCTGCTGCTGCCGCGGCTGGGGTCGGGGGGCACGCCGGGCAGGAGCCGCCGCCTGCCCCCTCGCGGGGAGCTGGCCACTGAGCCCAGGCCGGGCACCGGGGACCGGGTCTCCCCCCCCTCCTCCTTCTCCTCCTCCTCCTCCCCCCCGGGGCATGGTGTGTCGGGGCGGGGGGGTTGTTCCAGCGTTGCTGCCCCCCTCCCCCGCAGGCTCAGCCCAGGAGGGGCTGCCCCCGAGCCGGAGAGCCGGATCCGCGCGCGCGGCGCGGCTGGGGAGGGGGCGGCGCGGAGGCGCCCGGGCTGCGATCGCCCTTCTAGGAAGGCTCCTGCCCGCTGTTGAGGGTCGTGCGCCGGATCCGGGCCTCGCTGACTCCTCCAGAAGCAGGGAGATTTATCGTGTGTGCGCGCGTGTGGTGCTGCGTCTGGACTCGGGCTTTTCCTCCACTGGGCTCGAGGAAGCGGCTGCTCCTTCCTCTTCCCCTACCCTCTTGCTCCACATCCACGAATCTGGATCACTATGGAGCTGGAGAATATCGTGGCTAACACCGTCCTGCTGAAAGCCCGGGAAGGTAAGGGAGCAACTTGAGACGTGGATTTACCCAGAGCCTTGTTTGCCACTTGGGACCGGGGGGCGTTTTGTGCGGAGGGGGGTGTGGGGTGAGCAGGGGGTGAGGGCGAGGCATCTGCTGCTTGGCCGCTGGTTGCCGGCTCCTCCGTAGCCAGTGGGGGCAAGCGGTGCCCTGCTCCCTGTGT